TAATTTTATTGATTATAGGATCCCAAGCAGGTGGTAGTACCCAGCCTCCTTCTCTATTGAAATTAGGATGTTTTTTAATTTCAATAGCCTCACGTATCATCCTTGGTAGGAATCGGTGTTCTTTCGCGAGGATTTGTGGTCTATCAAATCTGATGTAATGGTTGGGGCCATCTAGGATATGATCACAAACTGCAGACTTCCCGGAACGTTGATGCTTCACATCAGCTATATGTTCTTTTACGCGGGTCCTAATTGATCTTTTGGTTTGTCCTATATAAGAGAGACCACATTCACAATCAAGCTTGTACACTCCTGCATCTTGTAGAGGAATATGACACTTGACGGATGGTAGGAACTGACTAATCTTCTTCGGCGGCTTGTAGAATGTTCTAATAGAAGCTCGCTTCAAGATATAGCCAATCTTGTCTGTGACACCTCTGACATATGGTAGTACAGCAGGCACACGCTCGACTGTGGCCGGCTTCACTCGGTCACTGTGACGTAGGCGCGGGACCCGAAGCTTGTTGTCGTGCAGAACTTGCTTGACGTGCTGAAGCTCGGTGGCCAGGTGTTTGCTGTCACAGATCCCTCGTGCTCTCTGTAACAAAGATTTGCCCACGGTAGCTAACTGTGAAGGATGGTGGTGAGATTCACCGTTTAAATATCGGTTTGTATGGGTCTTTTTCCTATACACAGTGTGACCAATGGTGTTATTAGGATTTCGGATGACTAACACATCTAGGAAAGGTAAGGAATTATTTGCCTCTAACTCCATAGTAAATTGAATTTTAGCGTTTATGGAATTAAGATGTTCTAAAAATGCAGTTACTTTGTCTGATGGTAAAATTGTGAAAGTATCGTCTACGTACCGCTTGTAGATCCTTGGTGTAACAGGTGCAGTAAGGAGGGCTTTCTCCTCAAAGTCTTCCATGAATATATCGGCGACAATGGGAGATACAGGTGAGCCCATCACCACACCATCTACTTGCTTGTAAAACTCTTCCTTCCACAATAGATAGCCAGATGTAAGGCAATGTCTTAGTAATACTGCATATTCTGCTGGCATGTTATTTTCCTCTAGTTTCCTGGTTATAATTGAGATGCAGTCTTCAACAGGTAGGCATGTAAATAGAGACTGAACATCAAAACTGACCATGGTTTCATTGTCAGTAAGATGTAGGTCTTTTATCTCAAACCTTTTTATCTAATACCTTTTGAATTTAATTAATTCGATAATACCTTCCTGTGCCAAACCACCGAAGTTGTATGGGTTACCAAAGATACACAAACCGAATGCTCCATTACGTCCAATAGTGAGTCAGATTGATTCGCCAACTTACAGATTGGCTCAATACTTAGCTAAAATATTATCACCACTCAGAGGACACACAAGAGCACACACTAAGGATTCATACCATTTTGTCAGTGAGATAAAAGACCTACATCTTACTGACAATGAAACCATGGTCAGTTTTGATGTTCAGTCTCTATTTACATGCCTACCTGTTGAAGACTGCATCTCAATTATAACCAGGAAACTAGAGGAAAATAACATGCCAGCAGAATATGCAGTATTACTAAGACATTGCCTTACATCTGGCTATCTATTGTGGAAGGAAGAGTTTTACAAGCAAGTAGATGGTGTGGCGATGGGCTCACCTGTATCTCCCATTGTCGCCGATATATTCATGGAAGACTTTGAGGAGAAAGCCCTCCTTACTGCACCTGTTACACCAAGGATCTACAAGCGGTACGTAGACGATACTTTCACAATTTTACCATCAGACAAAGTAACTGCATTTTTAGAACATCTTAATTCCATAAACGCTAAAATTCAATTTACTATGGAGTTAGAGGCAAATAATTCCTTACCTTTCCTAGATGTGTTAGTCATCCGAAATCCTAATAACACCATTGGTCACACTGTGTATAGGAAAAAGACCCATACAAACCGATATTTAAACGGTGAATCTCACCACCATCCTTCACAGTTAGCTACCGTGGGCAAATCTTTGTTACAGAGAGCACGAGGGATCTGTGACAGCAAACACCTGGCCACCGAGCTTCAGCACGTCAAGCAAGTTCTGCACGACAACAAGCTTCGGGTCCCGCGCCTACGTCACAGTGACCGAGTGAAGCCGGCCACAGTCGAGCGTGTGCCTGCTGTACTACCATATGTCAGAGGTGTCACAGACAAGATTGGCTATATCTTGAAGCGAGCTTCTATTAGAACATTCTACAAGCCGCCGAAGAAGATTAGTCAGTTCCTACCATCCGTCAAGTGTCATATTCCTCTACAAGATGCAGGAGTGTACAAGCTTGATTGTGAATGTGGTCTCTCTTATATAGGACAAACCAAAAGATCAATTAGGACCCGCGTAAAAGAACATATAGCTGATGTGAAGCATCAACGTTCCGGGAAGTCTGCAGTTTGTGATCATATCCTAGATGGCCCCAACCATTACATCAGATTTGATAGACCACAAATCCTCGCGAAAGAACACCGATTCCTACCAAGGATGATACGTGAGGCTATTGAAATTAAAAAACATCCTAATTTCAATAGAGAAGGAGGCTGGGTACTACCACCTGCTTGGGATCCTATAATCAATAAAATTAAAACTAAACCCAAGCATACCACTGCAAGACCTCAGGACATAGTCAGTTCATTTTGCATAGATCGGACCATAAACAATAATTAAAAAAGCTGAAGGTACTCCGGGTTTAACAATGACATCGGGACGTCAGTCATCTCAGTCCCCCGTGACCATGGGTGCTGGAAAGCGCCCGAAACGTCGGGAATTAAAAATAAAAATAAAAAGTAAGAAAAAAATAAACGCGATAAAATCCGTAAAAGAAGTTTTAATCAATTTCTAAGCGCTTTTAATCGTCGCGGTCGCTACGCAATTTTAGACCTTATGACGGTGTTTCTTCAAGTTTTTATAGAAATTATGTATTCACTCGGATCAGTACGGCGATAGTTTTCGATGTGTCGTCTTAATACTAATTTTCATTAATAAAAATGTTAATAATTACTTTAAAATTGTTTTATTTCTTCATTCATATACTATATTTATATAAGATCTTAAACATCCGCATCCGCATCCGCGGATGTGAAACTTCAGAAATCCGCATCCGCATTCACATCCGCGGATTTGAAAAAATCGGCATCCGCAACATCCCTGGTGTGTCCGGTGGTATTTTGGCTCGCGAGGCGATACGATAGTGTTTTTGTTTTAGTTTTACTAAACGCAACCCTAGTCAGCAGAATAATAATAATAATAAAATTCCGCAACATCATTCAAACTTTCGCCTTGAATTCCCTTCGCAGTGCTTTGCACGACGTAAGGTGACGTGATATAGCCGCTCAGTCATTTGTGTCTGCCAAAATGACAAAACAAAAAATATTAAAAACTATATGCTTTTGCAGGATGATGGATGGACGAGATCCGCTGGCGTTGGCTTGAAGTCAATCCATCAAAAATCCCGCTGTACGGCAAGCCCTGACAGCGAGGCAGTGGCGGACCGAATGATTAAGGTCAAGACCGGTGGCTAGTATTAGGAATTAGAGTAGGACCTAAAACAAATATCTTTAATTACAGCTTCGTGCGATTGGGTTGAGGTGGTGATGGGTCAACTCGAGTGGGATCTACCTGACTCGAGTTTAAGCTGACTGCACATGAACGAATCAAGCGAGCAAGTGAAAGAGTAAGAGCGCGATTCATTCGTTGTGTGCGCGCTTTTTGTTCCCGCCATAGTGAATCGAATGACACCGACGATTATACGAAGTTTTCCGATTATATCAACAACACAACAACCGGCAACATCAGTTTCTTCAGGGCACTTATTTTAAAAAGTCGGAATTTTGTGCAATGATAGAAGAAAACGTCTAGCACCTGAAACAGTGGAACAAAATTTATTTCTCAATAAAAGTAAAGTAAAGTAAAGTTACAGCCTATATACGTCCCACTGATGGGCACAGGCCTCCCCTCATTTCTGAGAGGGTTTAAATTATTGAATGCTATTTCTCATTAGCATTCAATAATTGTTTTTCTTCTTTTTTCAACAAGTACCGTTTACAATTTTTATTTATCTTTAGTTTAATTATTAAACATATTATTGTTGACTTTCAAGGAGTAAGTTTTATCTTATATTAGAATACTGTTTTTTTGTTTCACTATTTGAGTATTATTTTTCTTTTATTTATTTAGATAATACTTGATCGAAATACTTTTTAAATAAGTGATAATATTGTAATTTAAGTAGTAATAATTAAGTAAGTGTTCCTATTGCAACGAATTGACCTAAAAAGAAAGTTAACAGGGAGGTATAACCAAAAATAACTTGTTATTTAAAGTTTATAGATCTTCGAGAACATGAGGATAAATTTTTCATCTATTTTCGTTTCGTAGTTACATGGACGTCTAAAAGACGCTCTGCAGCATCAAAGCATCGTAAGGGACTGCATCGAGCCTGTTGAAATGTTGGCAGCTACTATTAGGTAAGTAAACAAACTAAGTAAAATATTAATACCCTTTAATTTCAATAAAAACTAGAAAACATGTTAATTGGCAATTTGATATATATCAGTTGGCAAAATCAATCTCCTCTGAGATTGATTTTGCCAACTGATATATATCAAATTGCCAATTAACACGTTTTCTAGTTCTAGACTTCTCTAAGTCGGAGCCTGCGTAGGATGATTGAGAGTTGTCGACGGATCGAAGACGGATTTTCGGAATAGAAGTGCTCATAATATTGACGTGTACTTGGTGATATCATATTTCCTTCTGCTTGTTTTTGTATTCCTTGAGGTTCATAGTAAATTCTAGATGGAGCAGGTAACGGCGATTGAGATAGTGTCGGGCGGGATACTTGGGTAATAAAAGATTGAAATTGCGGTGCATTAAGACGACTTTGTTTAATGGTCGTTATTAGTTGTAATATTCCCATTTGGAATTTAATTATTTCGTCTTCATTTAATGATGACAATGAAGGTATTATTTCTTTAAAAAACACAAATGCCGGTCCTCCGGCTTCTCTAAAATATGTAACAATTTTTTGTCAATTTCATCTATCTTTCGTTTACGTGAACCGAGCTGTTGTTGAGGCGGTGGTGGTGATTTAAACTGGCTGCTACAATTGATTTCCGTACTCTCTTCAACATTATTTCCTCTTGAAAGTTTTTCGACCCGATCTGTAGGACGTTCACAAAAAATTTTGTTTAAAAACTGTAATTGATCAAAATAAACGTATTTTCGTATAGTAGTAGCACCGGCTCCCGATTTTTTTACAGACTTTTCTTTGTTTAATGATTTGTGATTAACTCGGATATTTACCCATCGTTTCATTACTTCTTTACCTGGAAACAATATAAAAAAATACAAATGCTATACAGCATCATTATAACATTGCTCTGATCCCATGGTAAGTATTTATTGTTTATTTTTTGTTTCAGGTACTTAGCTAGCGGGTGTTCTTTCACAGACCTACATCTTAACTACAGACTTGGCATTTCAACAGTAAGCAAGATAGTAAATGAAGTATGTTTTAGCATTTGGCATGTTATGCTACCAGACTGCATGCCTACACCTAGTAAAGAGATGCGCGAAAAAATATCCGAAGAGTTCGAAAAAAGAGCCAATTTTCCGCATTGCATTGGTGCAGTGGATGGGAAACATATTAGAATTATTAATCCACTTGGCTCAATGTACTACAACTACAAAGGATACTCCTCAATAGTTTTGATGGCCGTAGCAGACACAAACTACCGCTTTGTCTATGTGGACATAGGAAGTTACGGTAAAGATTGCGACTCTTCAATATTTAAGAGATCATCGCTGTGGAAATCAATCATAAGAAATGAACATGAACTACCTACTAAAAAATGTATTAGCGGAATACAAGACGTTGAAGTGCCATATTTCCTAGTTGGTGACGAAGCATTTGCACTTCACCAACACTTACATCGTCCGTACGGTGGATGTAATTTTGCAATTAAAAAAAGAATTTTTAACTACCGCCTAAGCAGAGCTCGCAGATATGTAGAATGCACCTTTGGCATCTTGTCTAATAAATGGAGAATATTCCACAGACCAATTAACGTCAAACCTGATTTTGCAGTCGCGATCGTCAAAGCTTGCATTGTACTACACAACTTTGTTCGTGATCGAGACGGTTACCAGGTGGAGGACACAGATTTTATTACAGGACTAGAAGATGTCCCAAGACAAACCCAATCACGCGGAAGACTTACACCAAAGAATATACGAAACATATTGAGTGACTATTTTGTATCAAATATAGGGGTGGTCTCTTGGCAAATGTCAAAAATATAATGTAATAAAATAACTCACCAAACTTATTCTTTTCATTATCATCTAATTCTTCGAAACTACTATTTAATCCTATACATACTTCTTTCCACGCTTCTTTTGTCTCGTTCCTGTTTTTATAAGACGCGATGGTTTTATCCCATAAAGTAGGACGCGCTTCAACTAGCGAGATCAACATATCAACATCGATTTCGACAGACATTCTGCAACAATCGTCCGTCCGTTCCCCTATGATTTGCTTGTCGAATGGCATTTGCGCTCTCAATGCCGTACCGCGCCCGTGTTCATGTGAACGCGTCTATACAAGTCCATACAAGACTATAAAGACGGTTACCGCTTCAAAACAGTGTCTGCGCCCTCTTTTTCCCAAAAGAGAGTCGCTCATGATAAGGCACAATAGACCCTGCCCAAGTCACGCCCCCCTCCTCAAAAAAAAAAAAAAAAACAAAACCGTGCTTATAGTGGATAAGGACGGCTGACACGCGGTCACGGCACGGTCGCCGTGCCATGTGAAAGTTCTCATTGTTGGTCATATATTACTACTTTACACGGCCCGGCGACCGTACCGTGGCCGTGTGCATATGAAAATGGCACCACAGTGCGCGTGGCGCGGGCGGTCGCGGCGCGGCGCGTGATAACACACGCAGTGAGAAGCTGCCATAAGTTGACGAGTGGAATCCTCGTCGCCATGCGAGAGGCCCGTGCCCGGCAGTGGCCTTTACATGGCCTTTACGGTTTGATGTTGAAGAAAAACTCAAATCTTTAAATATTTTTGTAATGAATATATATATAATATAAATAAGGATGGAAGAAGTCGATGAACGCATCGCAGGCGGCCCAGGACTGTGCTTGTTGGCATCCCTTTGAGGAGGCCTGTGTTTAGCAGTATGATGAACATACATAAAATAGACATTAGGTTTCTTTAAGTCAAATACTTTACTGTCACGGGAAAAATAATCTTTTATCTTATTATACGCACGTGACTCGGTCTCCTTATTTGACGTGAATGTTCAAAGTTAACACTGGAACCTGATATTGTATTTCAGTAATAAATTAATTCCATTTAATACTGGAGTCAAGTTTAACAATAATAATACAGAATATTGGAGTCTGTCTGGTTTCGTTCATACAAATATTTAAATAAGGAAAAGGTTTCCTATGAGTATTTAAATAAGTTATCAGAGTTGTAAATATCTTAATTACCTGTAACCGTATATATCTTATGTTAAATTATTTTATTTCATTAAATTTGTTTTATTTATGTCACAATTTTGTTAGTTATATAGTATGAGGTATGTGGTGTATACTAAAAAGTTACTAGAAGATAACTACCAATCGAAAAATATATTTAAAACCTTATTTTAAACAATAATTAAGTAAATAGTAATATTTGATACTTGTACGAGTATTTAAGAACCATCTTACCTACTTTATACCTCAACAGCAGGTTACACATGATTGTGTTGCGGTGTGAGAAAGCATAGTATTAATATGTTATATGATGGTAAGATATATATAATACACTGGATGATTTTTTTACCGTCTGAAAAAATAGAGTGTAACAGTTTAACGGAATAGAAGCCTATGGCAATGAAATTTTACAATTTTATTTTTATTGTCTATTATTCTATCAATAAATACTACTTATTGTGTAATTATTATTTTAACTTCGTTTATAGTTGATTTATTTATTTAGTTCAAAAGTTTTGTTGTTATTTTTTTGTACCGAAAGTTGATTTCAAATTAGTAGTATTATTTGATAGATAAATTTCATATGTTAAAGTGAATTATTTTTTTTAAATATCAGCGCCATATGCTTCTATTCCGTTCACCTGTTACACCCTATTTTTTCCAGACGATAGAAAAATGTGGAATAAAAAAACTTAGTTCAATTTAAATCATAGACAGAACTACACGTTTCCTTCTCGTTTGACTTCTTCCAACATAGCAGCAGTATCGTACCTTTCCTGGTATAATAATTCCAATTAGTACACTGTTTTTTTAAAGTAAGTTAATTAATATTATTAAGCGTTAGTGTAAGCGCACACTTGTACACCACTGCACGCTTAGCACTTTGCCTCAATTTATTCAGTGACTTGAAATTCTTTAAATTACTCGCCGTCTGCATGGCTTTCGAAGCGCACAACGACAATAAAGTTCATTGAAGAATTTTTTTTAAACCAAAGTCCCCTTTATACATGTTTTCGATCGAAGTTAACTTTGAAAACTTAATAATCACATTGAATGGGAATTAGACATAGTAGTAATGCTCATACATAAAATATGTCTAATTTTGCTAATTTAAGTTATTAATTATCTAAACAAATGACTTTCTTTTACGGTGAAATATTTTTGTTAAACAACTTGAAGTTTCGGCATATTTGCTTAGTAATTCGCCCATTGACGCTGGCCGAGCAGTTTAATATGGTATAGTATATATAAATGGATAAAAATAAACTCTTCTAATTTGCCTTAGCTGGGTCACGTAATAAATTGAGAAGCAGGTGTCATAAGTTAGAGTTAAACACATCTTTGTTTGTGTTGCGACTAACATAAATAAATTATGGATACCTAATAAATGCTTATATGCTGCAACTAATTCAGGCAAAGTTCCAAAGCGCTTTCTTATTTATTTATTTAAACTCTATATTAAAGTTACTTCCATATGATTATAACCAAAAGCGTGAATGAAGAGCATGATAATTTTTCATGCTTTATCACAACAAATCAACAACAATATCTTATATGATTGACTACACTACTCTAAAAAAATTGTTTGATATAATATATTAACAAAGGAAAATCAAAACGTAAGTATATGTAAATATTAAAATTATTATTTTTGTTTTTAATTATTATTTTATGTTGCATATCTATATTTGGTTCGGCGTAATAGTGCCGCCACTATTTAATGGGTGGCGAAGTTTGGCTTTGCTTCGACAACTTTAAAATGAGGTTTACTTTTTTTATAGTTATTTATAGGTTATTTCAAAAGTAGAATTATTATTATTTACTTTTACAGAACAAAAAAAGCACTCATTGGGTTGTGCTTAATTCGCTATTTAAATTAAATTCCCTTCTGCTCATAATCATCATCACTATCGGTGCTTATATTTATATTTTATTTTATTCATTGTATTTCGTTTCAATTTTGGTATTTTACATGGATACACTTCAATATCCCTAATGAGGCAATATGTGGGGGAGGCCTTCAGCAGTGGATCTTTATAGGCTGCAATGATATATATATATATATACATGTATACATACTTTACACGACGTGTAACCGGTAATTACTTTTTGTGAGTTTTCAATCTTAGAATAGATATTTCATACAATTATTCTTATACATAGCGCCATATCGAAAATTCACGAAGAGGCGGGCTAAAACCAACGAGCAGAAAGCGGTTACGCTTAGCCAAAATGTGGGACTAGATACAAAATTGTGAAAGGAGTAATAGGTAGCTCACCATTGCCTATGCATTCACAAACCTAATATCCCATTCGTCGCCCATTACGTCGTGTTAGGCTTGTAGCGCAGTTGGTAAATTCTTTTTTGTTATAAATCTCACATTGGTAAGTCCCAGACCAACATGGCACAATGCTTAATAATGTCTTGTTGCCTTACATTTGTAAATCAATGGCTCGCGGCTCTGCTCTCTTGGAAATAAAAAAGGCTGTTTTGTTTATTTTTCCGCAATATCTGTTACTTTCTCACGGTGAAAAGTATCTCATAAGTTAATATAGGACTATTTATACATAACGCACCGCCTAAACCGTTGATCATAGCGAACTGAAACTTGGAGGTTTTGTTCTTCATATGACGTATGCATCCAATAAGAAAGGATTTTCTGAAATTATCTACTTAAAATTTAGCATAAACATTCTTTAAGAGAATTGATGACGTGAAGACGTGTTTCGTATTTTATTGAAACATGTTTGAAAACTCAAAACGTTGAACTCACATTTAAGCTTGGTGCAATGCAATACTCTTTTAAATTGGAATGTCAAATAAAAAAGAATATTTAAATCGAAAAATTAGAAATTTAAATTTTATTTGTTCTTTGAAATTCCTTGGAAATCTCTTAGATTACCTACTTAGCGAATATTTGCGATTGCTTTATGATTTATGTTTTTTTTTTCTTATATATAGGTTCCACTGAAAATCAGCTTTCATGAAGTTTCTTAGTATTAAACTTCGTGAATTTAACGCTGAGTGGAAACCTTTTTGGTGCACTAATAGCATAAAATATTTTTTTCCTCTTTGTAACTAAATTACTGTGTTTATGTCTTTTATGTTTTTTTTACGTTTGTGTACCAAATAAATATTTTTCTTTCTTTCTATTTGTTTGGAAATTCTTTTTTTATCATAGAGGGGGCTAACAAGCATGCGGCTCACCTGATGGTCAGTGACTACCGCTGCCCATGAATAACCGCAACACCAGGTGAATTACAGGTGCATTGTCGGCTTTTTAAAAAGGAGTAAGCTCTTTTCTTGAAGGTCCCTAAATCGTATCGGTCCGGAAAATCGCCGGTGGTAAACAATTCCACAGAGAAGTTATACGAAGAAGAAAACTCCTAGTAAAACGGACAGTGGGAGCATCAAATGGTGAGGATGATATCTTGAATTTTAACGCGATGTGCGTTCACGAAATTTGGCGGCTGGGATTAATCCGTACAATTCCTCAGAGCACTCCCCGTGGTAGGTGCGATAGAAAACGCAAAGGGATGCTACATCGCCAGTGAGTTGAGCCGATTCGAACCTCTCTGCGCTGAACGCGGTCAGGTTGAAGGAGCTGGCACTGGGTTGCCCCAGCCCAGAGATGAGAACAGTATTTCATGTGAGGCCGAACCTGCGCTTTGTAAAGTTGCAAGCAATGTGCCGGCACGAAATACTGTCTCGCTTTGCTGAGCACGCCAAGCCTTTTAAAGGCCAATTTGATCTTCCCCTCTAAGTGATCACGAAACTGCACACTATTCGATATGTTGACGCCGAGGATTCCAACGCTAGCTGAGGCAGCAAAGGGAGTGCCTTGAAACTGAGGAGATACGACAAACGATACGGTTTTTAGCGTTAAATGCGCTAACTTGTGTCTTCTGGGGATTGAACTGGACTAGATTTAGTCGCCACCAATCCGAGACTTTGTTCAGCAAAAACTCGACTTTAACACGAGTTTG